TCCTTGTCCTCCCCAAAAAAACAATACACACATTCTGCCTTCACATTTGAAGCATGCGCGGCCGCCCCGCGATCACATTGTTTTGGTTTCTTACAGGGGCGGCCGGGGTTCCAGCAGATCCCACCTGCCTTTGGGCGCAGGTGGTCGACCGACTGCTTCGACAAAATCAATGGCTGCTGCCTTCTCGCCTTTTCGTTTCCGATGGGCTTTCGAAGCCTTCAACCGACTCCAGAATTGGTCAAGAAAGTTCAAAGACGTCCCACAAGAGGCTTTCACACCGGGCCCAAGGACGCCCTACGCGCGCGGCGGCCAGCAGCTACCAACATGCGCTGGGGCGTGCGCAGCTGCTGACGTAGCAGCAGTTGCGGCGCACGCAGATGGAGCCCCTGTGGGTCCCCAGTGGCTGGCGCACCTGGTGCGGCTTAAGCACATGGAACACTGGGCGCACGTGAAACACGTGCCGCACCTGGCGCGCCTGGCACGTTTGGACCTCCAGGGCGTTCTGGTGCATCTGGAACCCGTGGCTTCTTCGGCGTTCTTATGCGATATGTTGATACCCAGGTGTCACTTATGTTTTGGGATGGCGGGTGGGAGTGAGCAAGACGGCTTGCGTGCGGGTGGGTAACCCTAAAACGTATTTAACGACACTTAAGGAAGCAGTCCCTGGAGATTGTTTTATAGCACGCGACACACCGTCAGTGATGAGGAGAAGGGATGAGAATACGATGACGACGACGACGACTGGACGCCGCGAGATGAAATTGGAGGCGTTCCGCCGTGAGAGACGGAGGAAGAGGAGATAGAGTATGGAGAGTATGGAGGAGGTAGGATTGGGGGAGGAGGAGGAAAAGGAGATCGAGCATGGAGGAGGGAGGGGAGAGGATGGGGGATGGAGGAGGAGGAGGAGGAGGAGGAGGAGGAGGAGGAGGAGGAGGAGGAGGGGGAGGCGGAGAAGGAGGAGGAGAGTAGGAGGAGGAGGAGGTGAGGAGGAGGAGGAGAGAGGAAGGAGGAGGAGGTGGAGGAGAAGAAAGGAGGACAGTGAGAGAAGGAGGAAGAGGAGGAGGAGGAGGAGGAGGAGGAGGAGGGAGGCGGAGGAGGAGGAGGAGGAGGAGGAGGAGGAGGATGGGGGGAGGAGGAGGAGGGGGAGGAGGGGGAGGAGGAGGAGGAGGAGGAGGAGGAGGAGGAGGAGGAGGAGGAGGAGGAGGAGGAGGAGGAGGGGAGGAGGAGGAGGAGGAGGAGGAGAAAGAGGAGGGGGCGGAGGAGGAGAAGGAGGAGGAGAAGAAAGGAGCTTTCGCGATCTTGGCCAAGCGGGTGGCGGACGACACTGGGGAGGAAGCTGCCGTAGTGGCAGACCGGCACGCCCAGCGACTCTCAGTCTCCCTGCGCTGGGAGAACGCGCGAGCGGTGTTGCGACGGCTACAGCCGCCGGCGGGGGTGCCCGCTTTGCGACTCGCAGCGGCCACGGTGGCCGCTGCGGCTGACGCCATCTGAGTCGCGGTCGCCGTCGGAGCCAGCTGGCCTTCTGCCCCTCCCGCCCCCTGAAGACCCCTGACCCACGACACCCCCGACGACCAACGACGACCCCCAACGCCGCGACGACCCACGACGAACCCCGCGACGACCCGCGTTGGACCCCACGACGACCCTCGTTCATTCCGCCCCCCGCCCGCCCCGCCCCCGTCGTGCGCGCTTGCCTCCTGTTGCTTTTGCTTTTGCTGCCTCCCCTCGCCTCGTGCATGGTTGTGTCTGCTCGTAGCGTTTTTTTGGTTTTGTTTCCTGGCCTTCTCTTCCTCCTCCACCTCCTTCTCCTGAATATCATTGCCATTCTGTCCACACTGGACGGACGGCACCGAACTACTGCACTCATTTCCTGTTTCTCTAGCCACAGTTTTCCCAGCGCGCAGCGAGCTTTATCGCTCGCCGAGCCCCGTTGGTGTACTGCGTTCAGGCGGCGTCCATGTCCACCACCAACGCGTGGCAAGCCTCGAGACCCATTGCGTCGAGTCATAACGGTTTCGCCGATGGGGGAGGGGGAAGGGGAATGGGAGGGGGGAGGAAGAAGGGAAAGAGGAGGGGGGATGAGGGAGGAAGAAGAGGAGGAGGAGGAGGAGGAGGAGGAGGAGGAGGAGGAGGAGGCGGAGGAGGAGGAGGAGGAGGAGGAGGAGGAGGAGGAGGTGTGTGTGTGTGTGTGCGAAGTCCGCTCGCTTCCCTATGCGACCCTTTCTTCCGCAACTGTATTGGCTCAGGTATTGGCAAGACAACAGCGCACTGCTCACTGCGCAGTGCCCTGGAAAAAAGGACTCCTACTCCTCGCCTCTACCAACGGATCCCGTATAGGAGCGGCCCGCCTCTAGCCGAACATGGCTCAAGATAGCCTCCATGCTGTCTTAAGGAAACGTCCGATCGTGTCTGGATGGGCTGGTGGGGAGTTTTGTTCGCGAGCGCAAACGGAAGGGTCGCGCGCCGTCCAAAGCTACAGCTAGCAAACAGGATGATTAAAAGGCTGGTGGGGGTACTTTTTGGCCGCAGCCGCAAGCGAAGGCGCAGGCGGCGTCAGAGGTCAACCCGGGCTACGGGCGAAGCCTACTTTCCCAGCGAACGCGCTCACGGCTGCCGAGGCTGCCGCCGAGGGAGGCTGGGGGGCGCCGGGGGCCGAAGGCAGGCTGCGAAAGCTACCAGGAAAGCCAGGCGGCCAGCGCGCGGGCATCCCAGAGGCAAGACCACTGGTGGTGGGGATATTTTTTTTGGTCGGCGGCCGCGCGACAAAGGTCAGGCGGCAACAGGCGTGTCTGGGACGGCGGAACAGGCAAATTCCACGCCAGGCGTGCAACGCGCGTGCACTGAACAAAATGCTCCGCATTCAATGGGGCGCACCTAGGGCACAGAGGTGCAAGCTGTGGAGTAAGTCGCCCTTGCGGCGCCAAGCTCCGAACAACTATGAACCAGCCTGGGACGCCAGCTGCACGTAGTGGGAACGTAAGCCGACGACGCCGAAGGCTGACCCACATGGTGGTGGGGATACTTTTTTTATTACAGCAGCAGGCGGAAGCGCCAGCGGCGGGCGGTCGCGGGCGGGCTGCGGCCGCGACTAGCGGCGGGCGCGCGCGAGGCCGCGGTCAGGCGGCACGCAGCAGCGTCCGGTGGTGGGGATACGCGAAGCGTCAAGAATTTCTCTGGGACCGGCGGCGACGACGGCGACTACGAAAACGACGACAGCGTCTCACACACGCTGAAAGGTCGGCGAGTATTCGGCCGCATGGGGGCCCTTACCAGGCTTCGAGATCGGGCAACAAACAATTCAGGATGAAAAACCGGTCCCGGAGAATGGGACGAGATCGTTCGGGGTCGACGTTTTGAAAGATTTACGACGTCGGTGGCCTGGGAATGGGGTTCGAGTAGATGAGGTCGAAGGATCGCTCCGTGTCGCTGGTGCATCGGGCATGCGGCTCGATGTGGAACCCGAATTTTTCCACGCCGGCGTCGCCGATGCATCGCTGGCGTCGCCGATGCATCGCCGATGCATCGGCGAATGCGACGCGATCTTCCAGCCCCGTGTGCCCCGACCCCATCCGGGAGGCCTCTGCTTTGAGGGAGCAGCGTCGACCTCTCGCGGCGACGCCGCGCGCGCAGTCGGGGCTCCTGCCCCCAGGCGCGCTCGCGTCGTGAACGAAAAACATGGCAGGGGGCGGGTCCGTGAGGTGTTGGGCACGCCCCCTCTCGGGCCGCCGACAGAGCAACTCGCGGGACGAGGAATTGGTGGTCCTGGGGGCGGGGTCGGGGCTTCCAGGGAACACAGCAGGACATCGCAAGTCTGGGGATGGGGCTCCTTCGGCTTCATATCAAGGGAGTCTCGTGTACCCTCGTAACTTCGTCTTTGGAGTGCGCTGGCGTCGGTTTACGTTTGGCAAGCGATGATGTAGCGCCAGCTTGGCGTCGAGGAGCGTCGATTTAGCGTCGGCCTAGCGTCGCACTGCGCTGAGTTGCACGAGCCAACAGGATGGTATGGGAGGCTGCCGTGAGTTGCCACCGACGGCTCCTGCCTTCGGGCCCGCCCAGGAGGGGTTCTGCGCTTCTCCGAGGGGAGGGGGGGGCAAGAAAAAACAAACGGCCCATGACATGTATACCTCAGGAAAACAATTAGCGGGTTGGGAGGATGGGATTGAGAGACATGATGATTTCATTGCATCCAGATGCTATTGCTCATATCCTTCATCCTCCCAACCCCTTTTTTCCCAACGCGATCATTGTTCTCCTCAGTACCTGCCCGAAGCACCCCCAACGGTAGCTTCCCGCCCTCCGCGCGCGGTTTGAATTCCAAGGTCCTTCAGGTCGGGGTCTACACTTCAGGGTGCTCCGGTCTCGCGAGGGTCGACAAGTTTCGGTTCAGGGTCTGCCTGGCCGGGGTCTGCCTTTTGAGCCCCCTCGCGCGCGTCCGCATTTTGAGGCCCTCCTCGCGGGTCTACACCTGGCAGGCGGTCAGCGTTTCGCTGCGGTTGTTGCCCCACTTCCGCCCCAGGGGGCACAGGCGCTGGCGGGGCGCGCGCCGCCTCACCCGTGCTGCCGGCCGCCCAGGCTGACGGCGGGACCCTGGGAGCCGACGCAGCGACAAGCTCGCAGCACGTCCACTGGCGTCGCGCACAAAGGGGGGCAGGGGGGAAGGGGGAGGGCTTCTTCGAAGCACCCCTGCTTCTTAGAAGGCGCGGGCCTTGTCTGTAAACGTACGGCCCGCTGCTTCTAAGAAGCAGCCTCCTTCTAAGAAGCCTTCCCCCCTCCCCCTACCCCCTCGTGCGCGCCGCCAAGTCAAAAGTCACGCCAGGAACCCCAGGCCCCATCTTCCTGCGCCATGCTCCGAGCCAGATCGGTCTGTGAGGGGCCTGGGGCCCGAACAAGGCGCAAGCGCCCGTAGTAAAGAGAAGAGTTGCAGCGCCAGGATCTCATGGGGGGGGGGACAGGGGGGGGGGGGGCGGAATGGAATGAGGACGAGCTGGAGGCCGAGGAGATCTGCAGCCATTTTGGCTCATGCCGGCAGGCCTTCCCCTGCCGTGTCATGGTGCGGCCGCCAGATGGCGACACCAGGACCAGCCGTCACGCGACCCGTGCCCCTGTCCCAGCCTCGGCCCTCTATTACCTACCCTCGAATGGCTTCGGCGACGGCGCCACGTTTGAGGATCAGCCGTCTGCGCCGACGAGGTATTGCATGTGCCTGAAGTGCGGCCAGGAGCTGTGGGCAGACTCCGCCACCACCTCGGTGGTGGACTGCTTCGCCTGCAGGGCGCCGCTGGCCTCTCCCTCCGGGGGCGGCGGGAAGCTGCCGCTGCCTCAGGCCACGAGCGCCGCCGATCTCGAGGACGTCTTCCTGGGCACCCTGAGGAAGTCGCGCTCACTGAGGATCTGCAAGCCCAGACCCCCTCGAGGCATGGAAAAATCACGACGGAAGGTTTTCGTTATTTTCGGCCCCCAGGGGCCCTCGCTGGGCCTCGCGGGACCGTCGCGGGGAATGGGTCCTGACCTCTGGGGGTCGCGTCATGAAAAGATCATGACCTCGGGGGTCTGGGAAAAGTGCATCTGTACACCACCCCCGGCCTGGCCAGGGCCAGCCTGGGCCTCCGGAGCATGTGCACGAGTGCAGACCCTCGTGGCCTCGGCCGGGAGGGCGGACTCTCACCCTGCTGTAGGGCCGCGGGTGGCCCTGGCTGGGCGCGGTGGTGGTGTGGAGGTGCTCGCGTGCGAGGAGGTCGAGTGACCCGAGCCTGCGGAAGGTGGGGCAGAAGATCGTGTCCCAGACCCCCGCGTCCAAGTCGGGCCTGGGGCAGGACCCCCCCACGCCGTCACAGGTCGAGCCGCCGGCCAGCCTCCACTCTGTCTCCAGAGGCGGGGTGCCGGAGCAGCAGGGCCCTGGGGGCCACCGTCTCGAAGCCTCTGGCGCTGACGGCTTTGGCCTCGGGCCGAGGCGGCAGACGCGCTCAGAGGATGTGGCCGACGCCGACGGGACGGCCAGCGGGAGACCGAGGAGGCGGGCGGCGGGCATGCCGATGCAGTCGCCGAGCACCTCTAGCCTGCTCAGGATCGGCCAGCCTTTGCTGAAGCCCTCGCCGCCTATGCCAACCGGGAACCACGTGCTCGACGGCGTGCTCGGCAAGCTCAGCAAGCCGAAGCTCATGGGGGCGCTCGATCGTGTGGTGAAGGAGGCGGCCACTGATGCCAGACATGCTCGCGTCCCGGAGAGAACATGGCGGGAGTTGTTTTGCATTTTGTCTTGTCTCCAGGGGCCTTCGCCAGGCCCTGGGACCGTACAAATATTAAACTATTCGGGATGAGAGACTCGAGAGAATGGGTGGTGGAAGTCGATCGATGGAGAGGAAGCATGCTGCCAAGTAGTTCCCAGATGTCTAAAATATGTGTCAGACATGTCTTAAACATGTAGTAAACACATCTTTTAAACATGACTATAACATGCTTCAAACATTAAACACACATCTTTCATTCAAGACTCGGATTGCTAGAGCGTCCGTTGTCATGGCATCCACAAGGAAAGGGCCAGGACTCCTGGGGACCGCGTATGGACAACACATCACATGTCTGGGATATGCATTCGTATGACCCCAGCACGACCCCGATTAGGGGGTCCCCATGCGCGTGGGACGACAGGCAAGCTTCAATGTGAACCAAGCTTAATTCAGGTTTGATGCATGGATACGGGCCGTCACGTGTTATGGCGTTCTTTCGCCTTCCGAACGTAGAATACAATCATGCAAGAGCGATGTCACGCGACACGGTGCGAAGACATGCAAACGCTGTGCGGTGCAAGCCCGAGCACTGTAGTGCAGCGCACTGCACGCAGAGCCGAGCCAAAGCAGGCAGTGCAAGTCCGCTGAAGTGGTGCACCTCCCGCTCTCCGCCCCAGGCGCTCCCCGCAGCGCGGCGAGGCATCCCGGCGGCGCGCCCCACGGAAGGGGCCCGGGGCCTTCGGTGTGCCGACGCGGCGCGGAGCCTTGCGGGCAGAGCCGAAGCGCCGCGGAGCCCACGAGGCCCCGGAGAAGGGCGGCCGAGGGCGCGGGGGCGCCCCCGTCGACTGCACGCAGGAGTGGCCTTTCGCCAGAACGACCTCTGGTGCGGGCCCACCGGGGTCTCCGAATAGGCCGGATGCGATGCGACAGTTGCGTCTTGCGCGCCTGCTTGGGTTCAGCCCCCCCCCCCGCGGCTCCCCGAAAGCCGCGCACCAAGGGTCACTCTCTGGCCTAGGGTCACTCTTGCTTGCAGCCGACCGTGGGGTGAAGGCCGCCAGGGGGTCGCGGGGTGCAATCTGTTTTTGATGTTGCTCGGTGCCAGCTTCTGTCGTGTCTGGCGCCAGCTCCTCGGAGTGGAGCGGCGCAGTGCGGCAGTACCATCCCTGCCCATCCCTTCGTTGCTCCTGCGCGCGAGTGCTGGCAGGAGGGAGGGCTGTAGCCCATTGAACTCAGGCCAGTCTGAAAAGGCGAGGTGGCCGCCGAAAGCTCGCCTAGATCGCCTGGACAAAAAGAGCCATCCCCATAGCAGGCTCGAGATCGACAGCTGCTGTCCCGTAAGGGGGCGTCCGTCGCGGCTGGCGCCAGCAGCGGGCCATTGCGCTGGTCGCCGTGGGGCCGGGCAAGGCGGGTTTTTCATTTAGGCGGGGGGGGGGGATACCGTGGCAGTGGGAGCGCGCGGCGCGGGCGCGGGCCGCAGGGTATGCAGGTCGCGGGTGCAGGTGGCGGGCGCGGGCCGCGGGCGCGGGGCGCGGGCGCGGGGCGCGGGCGGGTCGCGGGCGGCCGGCGCCCCCCGGTAATGAATGAGAAGTCCAGAGGAGGGCGAGTTGTGTGGGCAAGATCTATATCCAGAGCCGCTGCGCCTCGGCTTTCTGGCGCCCCTTCCCACAGAATCCAAGACGCAGTGGATATCGATATGAATCCTGCCCGCAAGTAGAGGCAGCTGTAGGTGGCCTTTGGGGGGTCCCTCGTTACCACGGCTGGGCGCAGCTCGGACAGCTGGTGCGTTTGGACCCCCAGTGTGGGTCGTCGGACTGATCTTGAGGTGCCGTTGCCTCAACTCGCCCTGCTCCGAGTGGCACGGTCGCGGGCAGGGTCGTGGCGCTTGTCGGACCCCACTTGTCAGACACGCACCCCGTTCGGCCCCTGGCTGTGGCACTCCAGGCGGCGCTCAAGGAATTCGACCTCGACGGAGACGGCATCCTCAGCGACGAGGAGATGGCCATCGGGCTTCGGAAGCTAGGGGTGTCACTGCTTCCGGCGGAGTTCGACGCGTTCGTCAGGGCACTTGACGTCGACCAGAAGGGCATGGTGCTCGTCGACGAGCTGCTCTGGATCGTGTCCTTGTACAGGTCCCACTTCCAGCTGGACCAGAGATCCGACAGAACGACGGCCGAGCCCCGAGCGGAAGACCCCGACCTCGGGCCGCCGCGGCCGCCGCGGGCCGAGGACGAGGCCGACGCGGGCGGCGCGTCCGGCGCACCCCCCCGCAGGTCGCCGCGCCAGGCCTCGAAGCCGCCGGGCCGCCAGGCGCAGGGTCGCGACCTGCACGCCCCGGCCGCCAGCCCGAGCCGGCGCGAGCCCGAGGCGCGGCGGGAGCTGCCCGGCGAGGCCCACGGCCGCGGCGGCAGGCCGAGGCCCGCGGCGCTCGGGGCGCCGCGGCAGGCGCGGTCGAAGGACGCGCCCGGGGTCGAGGGGGCGGCCGGCGGGACGCCCAGCGGCGACTCCGCGGCAGGCAGGCGGTGGAAGCGGAAAAGCCGCGTGCCCACGGGAGGGCGAGCGGGGCCGAGGGCAGGTGGCCTTCGGTGTGGCCCCCTCGTGGCCCTGGCCGGACGCAGCTCGGGAAGACACCGGTGCGTGGGGGCCTCGGGAGGGGTCCGGGGGCAGATTTTGAGTTGCCCGTACCTCAACTCGCCCTGCTCCGAGGCATATCATCGTCGGAGGGGGGCAACTATACGGTTCCACCTCGTTTTCCTCCCCCGCCCCCCTGGCAAGGGGGGGATCAATCAGAGGAGGGAGGGCGGGGGGCAGGAGGCGGAAGGAGGTGGACCTGTAATTCTGGATGTTCGCCTCCCAGTAAGCAGAAGCGTTCGGAGGTCCGCGCTGTTGTGTCGGCGCTAGATCCGCCCCTGGCGCGCTTCGCGCGCCATGGGAGAAGCGGGTCGGTATCGAGGCATTGTCTTGATTTTTACCATGCGCCGTCCCCTTAAGTCCCGACCCTTTCCCCATGGCCGTTTTTTGTTGTCCCGAGTATTGTTTGGCGGTCCTGGGGCCCGGCCAGTGGCCCCGGAGGCCGGAAATGGCCAGTAGCCGTCGGTCGTGATTTTGTGACGACGCGAGCACGTTTGGAAAGGAATCCGCGCGGGCCTCCGAAGGGTCGTGCAGTGCATATGCAGTGCCTTGCTCTGCCAGGCAGGCTGGTGCCGTCGCCGAACGGCTTGAGCTTGCCCAGGATCGCCCAGCGAGCGTCGCAGCCTTCGCCTCCGACGCCAACTGGGAACGCCACGCTCGACCTCGTGCTCGGCAAGCTCGGCAAGCCGAAGCTGCTGGCGGCCTTCGACCGTATGGTGAAGGAGTTTTGGGAGCTGGCCGGGGAGTGGGGTGGCCCAGCACTGGCTACGGCCAGCAGAGGAGGTCGGGGGCTCGTAGAGTCTAGGCCCCCTGGATGGGGTCCGAGTAGATGGGGTCGTAGGATCGCCCCGCATCGCCGATGCATCGCCGATGCGGCTCGATGTGGAGCCCGATTTGCTTCACGTCGACGTCGCCGATGCATCGCTCACGTCGATCATGCATCGCCGGTGCATCGCCGGTGCATCGCCGGTGCATCGCCGATGCATCGCCGATGCATCGGCGATGCGGCGTGATCCTCCGACCCCATGAGGGGTAATCCCAAGGCGGGGTTGGCGAACGAGCCCAGCTGGAGGCTCACCTTCCCTTTCTCCGGGAGAGCCGCTCCGAGCGAGGTCCCTCACGTCCATGCAATCGCCGGTGGCCGG